TAGTATTTTACATGACTGTGAGTCTTTTCTGCGAACGCATCGAAAATACCCTTTCATTATTTAAACCAAAATACGCTGAACATGATGCATTAAGTCTTACATAATAAGACTTGATGAAAAACTTATCTAGTTATATAATAAATTGACAGTGCATCCTTGCACAGAAAACAATCTGCATGTTCAGATTCAAGCCTGTAGATGGGGCCACTGCAGCTCAAACGACGTTCTGTACTTGTTTTCATCAATACAGACATGGAGGGCTGTGTTGATCTAAGACTGTAGGCAAGAAGGTTGATGGTTTTGAAGTTATGAAATAAGCAAATCTGCTGCCATTTTACTAATTAAGTCCTAATAATATCTATTTAACCTCTACAACAACTTGACTACAGACTGCTTTATAGATCATAAAAGCTGAAAAGGGTAAACTATATAATTGATAAGGTACAGAACATTTTGCTATGATTGATTCAGTTTCTTATTGTGATTTTAGTTCTTATTTAAAGCAAAAGGCCAAAAGCCGCGTAACGTTCAGATAAAAATAAGGGTAATGCAATTTTGATTTTCAACTAAAGTTCAGGTTAATGACTAGTTTTCAGGAGTCATTTACCTTAACTTCTACTTTGATAATAAACTGGTTTTAGGAAAATGTTCTTCAAATGACTGGAAATGCGTAGTTTTGAGTAGATTTTGTTATTTTCCAGGAGAGCAGACCCCACTAGGACTGCTCTAGTTCTAGTGGGACTTGAGAAAGAAAAGTGACTAACCTTTGAGCATCCATGAAATATATTTTTCATCAAGCATTTTATTGTCTTACATGTTTGTCAGTAGAGGGGTCACAAGTGGTGCTGGTGCTAAACAGTCATCTTTTTAGACAGGGACGAAGCCGGAGTACCTGGAGAGAACCCACCAAGAAAACTCATACAGAAAGACCCCGGGCTGAGAATTGAACCCAGGACCTTCTTGCTACAAGACAACAGTGCAACCAACTGTGCATCTTTTAAAGTGATCAAATATGACTGAAAATAATAGCTGAGGTAATTATTGGAGGCTTTTTGGGTTTTTGGGATGTTCTAGATCTGATTAAATGGGTTCTCAATAAATCTAAGTCAACTAACATTTAAGACTGACGACATCTTGTTTTATGTTATCTTTATTTATTTAAATTTAGACAGCATCTTTGACACAGTTGATTATGTAATGTGCAGTTGTCAAACAGGATCCTGGAACACACATATTTATTTACCTTTGCACTGTAGCAGTTTAAGATAAGTTGTCTGACTGGTCTGTACTATTACATAAGATTTTCCAAGGTACCAGTTGTGACTCCATCCCTTCAATCATCCCTTAAATAAAGTTGCAAAAACTGTAATTGACATGGATGCATTAAGCGGAAACCTGCCAGCATCTCCATTTAAAATACATAAACTTTTCATTTTGAGTATGAGCGGTGATGTGCTGCTGAGCGTGATGAGCTCTCCTTTCTTGTGTTTTATTTTCTTGTTAAAACATCACGCTCATGTGACAAAGACATAAAGCTTTCCCTTAACTCTTGGGCCAACTCTTCAAAAGGGAAACAAGTCTTCATTAAAATGGTTGCATGTTGTAAGAATTTCAACAACAAACATTGTTTCTGTTTAGAACGGCTTCTAACTTAATACATGAGTGAATAAATCCTCCGGTGGTAGGGATTACTGTTTATCTGAACCTCCTTCTGGATTATGGTGATTAACTTTTGCCTAAAATAAAATACTGTGGATTAGATGATTTGTGCACAATCATTCTGGAAGCTCATTAAATTAAATTGATCTATTGAGGTAAATTTGTTGGTTTTGGTTCTCAGGAATATTCTGAGAGTGATGTAATAAAAATAAAAAGATGAAATTACAAAAATAAAACAAGAGGTAATAAAACCAACAGGGAAGAACCCTAAAACGACTTTGAGGACAGCAGAGGGATAAAAAAATTACTTTTGAGAAGAGCAGGGACAAGGAACAGGGGAGTCTGATGACTAATTGTGCAACAGCTGTGAAAGACGCTTCTGGAAAGCCACATTTTGAAGATAACTGAAAAATGACAGAAAAATATTAGATATGAATGAAAAAGACACAAAAGGAAGATGACAAAACACAGAGTAACTTGAAATGCAAATAGATGAACATTTAAAATACAAAATAATATAAAACTGATAACCAAAGTCACTAGTGAAACTTAAAGTCCCAAGAATAAGAATAGATGATGCATTAAGATCTGCCTTGGTTGTGAAATTAAAACAACCTACTGACCCTGAACTAGTTTCTCACCTGTTTATGCCATTTGTGTTTGATTGCAGCAATGGTGAAAGCTGTTCTTCTGTGACCTTTTACCTGTAAACCCTTGCAGTAGCTATAAAGAAGATTATAAACACTGAAAGCGATATACTAATTGGGCAATTAACTTCACAAGATTAAGCAAAATGTTTTACAACTTAACACAGACACAAAATTTATACAATGACTTGTTCATACCAAACAAGGCCTTTTATATGCATAATGTAGACTTGGAATAATAAGCAAAGCTCACATTGATATCTGGCTTTGTCAAGTGCTCTAAATCAAGCTGGAGAACCAACAACTACTTGTATTAGTTAAAACAGTAAAAATTAACAGAAGAGCTGGCCTTAGTCATTTGCGTTAAAAACATAAAATGCAATCAGAAGGAACATCCAAAGTCAGGCCAGGACATTTCTTCAAGAAAATTTTGTCTGTATTTTTCCATCTTAAGTCTGTCACTAGAGAAGTTTCCTCCCCGAAGGACGAGCTATAAAACGTGAGACATTTACTGTGAACACTCTGACAAACATAACAACAATCTTGTCACACTAGATAAAATATTTTTGAGGTTAGCTCATGCCAATAACGCCCAAAGTGTAATAAAGTGATAACCACATAACAGGTGGTAGTCTGATTACCACCTGTTGTCTCTTTAATGTTTTTTAATGTTTTTTTTTTTTAATTTAATCAACAGCAGCATTATGTAAGCCTCAGTTTTATTCCCCAGTAATTAGTGATATTGCTAATGCTAAACGTTTGGAACTTTATTTCAACCAAATCGTCATTGTTTGGTGAACAGAACAGAGAAGTTGTAAATATTTATCTAAATATATATTTTTTTATCTTGGTTTAATATATCAATCCAGGTCTGGATCTGTTATATTTCTTCTACCCCAGTTTGCGTTAGTAAAATTGATTTTAAATGCTTTTAACCTAGAAAGGTTGATAATTAGAAAAAGAAACTCAACGTAGCTATTTCCTCATTGAGCAAAGATGGAGTAAGTCAAAGAAATCTTTGCCTGCTTCTCACAAGAGTAAAATGAAATTTACTAGATACACTTAATTACACATATAATGCATATAAAGAATTTTAATTTTGATCCACAAAGACGTTTATTTGTCCAGCAAACTCATAAGAGAATTACTATTCAGTTTAAAAATGTGAACAAGTCAAAATACAATGGACTGAAATCCACAGTGAAAAAGCCTAAAGCTCTAAGGATAAGTCAAAGGAAACAGAAAATCCAATGAATGAATGAATTCACTTCCTGTTAGATTCCAGCATGATCCTTTTCCCCTCCTACACAAAGCTCAACAAATACCCAACAGCCTCTGTCCTGCAAGGCATGCTGGGAGATGATGTTTCGCAGGAGATGGAAATTTCCAAGATATCCGTTTAGAGTAGTGAGTGAGTGGAAATTTACCCTGTCCTCTTGCTCCTTTTATACAGAGAACCATGCCTTCTTTGCAGGCTTTTTCAGTGAAAGTCGCCGTACTTTACCATAATTTTATTTGTCAATTGAGAAAATTTGATAATATTAATATCACGAGAAAATATGTAAAGCAGCAATGTTTCTTGTGTTTACATTATGAGCGAAATTGGTTTATAATAACCACATCAGAATGAATTTCAGTTGTAGCAGCTGTGGGAGCAGGCCAAGGAGGCCAATCAGAAGGCCTAGAGTAGTTTGATCTACTTTCATTCAATTTACTGACAGCCTTACCAAGCAGCAAAAATGCCTGATATATTTCAGGCATTGCCTTACTTATCTGTTTATATATATATATATACATATATATAAAACAAAAAATAGGATTATCTTTTGCTTTTCAAGAACAAAAATTTCTAACATTCAAGTTTGAAAGCAGTTATTTTACAAAACATCAAATACACATTGCTTATCATAAATTATGCCCTTAAAGGACATGAGTGCAAGCTTTTTACAATGACAGGTAGCCTATACTTTATTTGGATTACATGCAGGATTGCTATGGAAGACTGCTTTGTAAAAAAACAACAAAAAAAAACAAAAAACAAATATTACTTAAAAAGTATATTTCTGATTGATATGGGCAACATTATTATTATAGGACAAAACCTAAAAAATCTGTGGATCTGCTGTATTAATCTATTCATAAAAGATGCACTAATTACCTAGATTTTTCCAGATTCAAATCTAAACCCAAATTAGATAATGTGCCAGACTTCTGTAGCTGGAAAGAGCATGTGCTTCTGGTAGTTTCTCTAACTCCAAGCCGCTCAGAGATTTACTATTATTAATGTGTTATTCTAAGATAAGCAGGAACCTTTGCGTCTAAGTATAGGGCTGTATTTCTGGAAAATGATTTAATAGGTTTAATGTACTACTCTACAGTTTGCCTGAAGACCAATAAAAAGTTATGCATTGACAAGAACTTCTAGAATATTTCCACAAGACACCAAACGCAAGTGAAGTTCATTTTAAAGTCACGAGTGATCAGATATCGGATTAGACCCAAGTAAAACTCTCCTGGCCCGGTTCTCTCAATTTAAGCATGTGGGTTAATGCGGGTAATTAGCTGGAACTACTTCTAGGCGCTTTTAGTGCGTCCCTTTAACACGTCACGGGTCCACGTGTGGGGCGTGGACTTGTATTGGTTCCTATAAGGAGCACGAAGCTGATAGGTTGTGGTTGTCTGACGGAGCATCACAGTTGAAGCGGAAGTCTGCCTCAGCGGGGAAGCCAACTTAACCGAACCACATCTACACACGAGAAAACAAGCTCTCTTCCTGGGCGGACGGAGTTTATTCTTCTTCCTGTTCATCGACTTCAAGGGGCGTGGAGTGACGTGTTGAAGCGCGCCTATTGAGTGACATTTTTTTCAGTGCAACCGGTGAGCGTAATTCACGTCTTTAAGTTTATCCCATTTTAAAACATACCGACTGAATATCGCTGTTAACCCGTTCGGGGTATGTTTCCGATAAAAAGACGCGCGCGCTCTCTCTCTAGCAGCGGTTGTTTTAGTAAACCTCGTCTGACAACATCCCAGTGCTGACGTCAGTGTATGAAAACAGTCGTTTTCTCAAAGAAAAGACCCGCTTAACGCCACAGTTCGGCTTTGCGAGCGCAGGCTCATTGTCCCAGACACTCTGGAGTGGAGACGTGATGTCAGGACGCGCGTCGTTTTCACGCGGATGAATGAACGAGCGGCTGTTCTAGAATCTTCTTGCCACCTGCTAAGGTTGATCCGTGTCGTCTCCTTTGTATTCATGGGGCGGTCTGCGGCTGTCATCCGCATCTGGACGTCAATTAAAGCCCCATTGTTCCACGGCGACACGCTTTGCGTCTCGTTTTATTTTTGCCCCGCAGCTCTAGTGGAGTTATAAGAGCCTCACCTGTGATTAAACAAACGACAACATGCCCCGTTTCACGTCCTTCACACACAAAAAAATCTTCAATGGGATTAAGCTGTAGATCACCTTGCTTTATTCTATTGCGGGGCTGATGGTAACCAAATGACCGAGGTTGCACTGATAAGGTTTAGAGAAATTGAACCGTCTGAAATTCAGCCACAACTGGAAGGTAATTGTTAGCCTGGGATTTAAACTGACAGGAGCAGGAAGAGTTACCCCAGTGGTTTGTTGTCATACCTGTTTTATGACGCAGCTTTGCCATAAATGACTTTTTTTTGTGAAACCTATTTAGCATGGAAGTTAAATGATAACAGAGCGATTGTCCAATATTAGTGTAAAATTATGTGTTACAATTATGATTTTTATTTTTTATTTCTCTTTATGCTGCCTTACTTATTTGTTCAGTAATTGTGGTTGAAAACGTTTTACATGTTTTATTCTGTGCACATGTTGCACACTGACTCCTACCTTCATTTTCTTTATTAATAATCAACTGCTTCTTTGGAAAGACCCACCTTAACCAAACATGACAACCATTTAAAAAGGAATTGGATAGTGTTTGGATAAACTACGGTGATGTTTTGTGTATTTGGAGTTATTTTAAGACTTGACTCCTCTTCTCTTCAGTCTTCTGGACCAACTCATGATACCAGTAGTGCCCAAAGTCGGTCCTCGAGGGTCAGCATCTTGCATGTTTTAGTTCTCGCCCTGGTTTAACGCACCTGGAGCAAATGATGGCTCATTGAAAGGCCTAAGAACAGCATTGAGATGCAGTAAAGGTTATTACTGGCAGGGAGAGAACTAAGTCAGGCAGGATGTTGGCCCTTGAAGACCAACTTTGGGCACCCCTGCATTCTACTAAATTAAGATAAAGGCTTGATTCTTTCTCTTTCCAGGCTAACTTATTTTATTATTAAAATAATAAGAACGGTTTAAAAAAAAAAAGTGAACTACCACATGTAGAATGCACATCACTGTTATTCTGGCACTGGGGCTGAGTGAGTCGGTCCTGGGAACATTGGGGGAAAAATAGTGATGAGGTTTTAATCCCATATTGTGTAACTCTGTAAATCAAATATATAAAAAAATGTATGTACAGAGAAATGTCTCAGTGTTTCTGAGCCAGGGTCTCCTTGTCAGTTTATGGCAACCACATGAAGAAATAGGCCTTGTTGGTGACTTAATAAAACTGAAAACAAAGACTTCTTTTATTGAGAGAGATGCTTTTGCATAGAGCATGTTTGTGAAAAAGAAGGCGTGGGAGTTATTTTCTGCTATGTATGGCAGGGTGAAACCTCAGGAGAGGCCAAACATTCAAGTGTTTGTCATCGATGATGATGTGGGGACAGATGTGCTCAAACTTCCTCCAAATGTATTCCTTTTTGCTGATGCTGGATTTTTATTTGATCCATCTGATTGTCTATCTGAATATGTATTATTCACCCTGCAGGGAAAATTTAGATCTGGCATCTCTGTTGAGTGGATGGTCAGTTTTAAGAGCATTGGCTGCAAATCACTCCTGTACGCTAAGTGTGCAGGAGAGTCTTCAAAAATGTGTGGAAAGTTATTCCCAGTTTCAGTCAGTGTTGTAGAAGATGTGGCACTGATAAACACTCACCAGAAACCACAAGGATGTGCACCCGTGATTCTTTTAATGGTACATCCCAATGGATGGTCATCTAAGACAAAGAAAACAATTTAACTGAAGTTCATATAAAAACCCCCCAGATGATTAAATTTCTGTAACTGTAGGTAATATTGATAACATTTGCTGATTGTGATTTGAATATTACTTTAAAAGGTAATTTTGGGTTCTGTGAGTCTTAAAGTGACAATCTTCATTTCACTGAAGTCTAAAGATGTTTGTTTAAAAGAGGCGTTTTGAGGAACTGTCCAAAAATAAAGGCACACAGGATGTTCTAGATCTGATTAAAATTATGTTGTTTTTTTTTTGTGCATCTTTGTCAGATGCCAGTTCACTGGAGCAAATCCCAGTTCACTGAAGGTGCAAGTCTTGTTTTTTTTTGTGTTTTACATTTCACTATTTATTTTCCTAATCATTTTTATTGTACGTATACAAAGATATCTTCGCGGCTCTCTAGATGAGGATATACTGGTGGCTGTGTGACCTTGAAGTTGGTGTCAGTACACATTACTCAATGCGTCTCCTGTTGTGAGTTCTAACATGTTTGTGTTCAGCGTTTTTTCCAAGTAAAAGTCATAATACTAATGATTTGTTTCTCTCTCTGTTTTACAGGAGCATTTAATCTTGACTTTTCTAAACTGGTGACGCCCTCGTCAGCCTCCAACAAACCCAGGCAGACTACCTCATTAAGCTTTTTCGACCTGCCAGTGGATCATTAACCAGCTTTTGCTTTGACTGAAAACCAAAGCAGCAAAAAAAAAAAAATTCTAATATGTTTTAAATAAATCACACTAGGAACACTTGGACATTTGCTTCTTTTTAAGCTTTAAAGGAATTAATTTGTGAAAATGCATGCCAGGATGGAAGCAGCAGACATTGCAGTGGTTGCACTGTATTTTGTCCTGGTGCTGGCCATCGGGCTTTTGGCCATGTGGAAAGCCAATCGCAGCACAGTGAGTGGCTACTTCCTCGCTGGACGCTCCATGAACTGGGTAGTGATAGGGGCATCCCTCTTCGTCAGCAACATTGGCAGCGAACACTTCATAGGTCTAGCTGGGTCGGGTGCAGCAAGCGGCTTTGCTGTAGGAGCCTGGGAATTCAATGCACTCCTTCTTCTGCAGCTGCTCGGCTGGGTGTTTATTCCAGTCTACATCTACTCTGGAGTTTACACTATGCCAGCGTACCTGTCAAAACGTTTTGGTGGGAACAGGCTGAAGGTTTACTTCGCCTGCCTGTCTGTGCTGCTCTACATCTTCACAAAGCTCTCTGTGGACCTGTATGCTGGTGCTCTCTTTATTCAGGAGTCCCTGGGGTGGAACCTATATCTTTCAATTCTTCTGCTCATCAGTATGACTGCTCTTCTTACCATCACCGGTGGATTGGTTGCAGTGCTCTACACAGATGCTCTTCAGGCAGTGCTGATGATTGGTGGAGCCCTGACCTTAACCATCATGAGCCTAATAAAAGTTGGTGGACTAGAAGGGGTCAGAACTAAATATATGCAAGCCATTCCTAATGTCACTGCAATAACGGCTGCTGGAAACTACACATATTCACCATCTTGTCGCATTGAACCAAAGCCAAACTCACTACACATTCTTCGCGGCCCTCTAGATGAGGATATTCCTTGGCCAGGTTTCATTCTGGGGCAAACCCCTGCATCCATTTGGTACTGGTGTGCAGACCAGGTCATCGTGCAGAGAGTATTAGCTGCTAAGAACATTGCTCATGCTAAGTGCTCAACACTCATGGCTGGATTTCTCAAGATCCTGCCCATGTTTGTGATAGTCATTCCAGGAATGATCTCCCGCATCTTATTCGCAGATGAGATTGCCTGCATCGGGCCGGAGCACTGCATGGCTGTGTGCGGTTCCCAGGCTGGGTGCTCGAACATCGCTTACCCACGCCTGGTGATGGCGGTGATGCCAGTGGGACTCAGGGGGCTTATGATGGCGGTCATGATTGCTGCTTTGATGAGTGATCTTGACTCAATCTTCAACAGCGCAAGCACCATCTTCACCCTGGACATCTACCAGACTGTCCGGAAGACGGCTTCGCAACGCGAGCTGCTAATTGTTGGCCGCATGTTTGTTGCGGTAATGGTGGTAATCAGCATCTCTTGGGTCCCTGTAATCATTGAGATGCAAGGTGGACAGACATACATGTACATCCAGGAAGTTGCTGGCTATCTCACCCCACCAATAGCTGCCCTTTTCCTGCTTGGTGTGTTCTGGAGGAGGTGTAACGAGATGGGCGCCTTCTGGGGAGGCATGACGGGTTTCGTGCTCGGTGCCGTACGGCTGATCCTTGCCTTCTTTTACCGCCAGCCTCGCTGTGACCAGCCAGACGACAGACCCTTCTTCATCGTCCACATTCATTACATGTACTTTGCAGCTGGACTCTTCTGGATTTCAGGGTTGGTTGCTGTGGTGGTCAGTCTTTGTACCTCTGCACCGGATGATGAACAGGTGCACAACACCACAGTCTGGGGGCTCCGCAAGCTGGAAAAGGTTCCCCCAAAGGACAGGGCTGTAAAGTACAGTCTCACAGAGAAGAACCAATGCAACGGCAGCGAAGTTTGCTATAAAGACATTCCTGCAGATGTCAAAATGGAGAGGTGTCTAGATGGAGCTGAGCTCAAGCTACTGGTCCCGTCCACAGACCATGATCCAGCTACTTCCAGCACGGAAACATCCCCTGCCTCCACCCCTGCTGAGCAGCCTGCTTTCAACCAGATGAATATGATCAGACCAGAACAAGGAGAAAAAGGCCATTGCATGCGCTTTATTGACTGTTTCTGTGGGTACAAAGAAGAACCACACGGCACTCCGCAAAAAGTCTTGCAGGAAGATGAGCGGGTGATTGCAGCGATGCTGTACGAATCCCCCAGAGTTAAACTCCTTCTCAACCTGGCCCTGTTCACGGTCTGCTCTGTGGGCATATTCATGTTTGTGTACTTCTCACTGTAGTTGGACCCTGTACAGAACTGTTTAGATTTTTTTTTTTCATAAGTGCAAGGTTTCTTTGGGCTGTTACAGCAGTAAACATGTTTTTTTCTCAGATTATGAATTTTGTCTGTAATATTTACAGTTATTTTTTGTAGCTTACTAACCTAAGCTTATCATTTTTAAATGAGTAAAGCTTCTCCATGTGAAAAAGAAAAGCAAAACACAACCTACTTCTATGTGACTGAGTCCTATTGTCGATCTTGCATTTAAAATGTCTACTTGGACTTTCAGAGTTGTTCTATCAGTGAATCTAATATTTGCCTTACTATATATATGTTTTTGTTGCATTTGAGGATGAGTTGAAATATTTGAAGGGGTGTAAGAGAAAACATCAAGAAGAATTGCTCGGTACTTAACAAATGATGTTTGTATTTTAAAGTATATTTTTAATAGACATAACTGAAACTATTGATTTGACTTAATGTGTTGCATTTAGAACCACTTTGTAGAGTTGGAATTTAGAAATGTATCCATGTTTTTCTGCTGATTGGTGTCAGAAAGCGAAGCACAACTTAAATTATTTTTCCTCTTTTTCTTAGTCAAAGATAGAGATGGTATAGCTAATTTGGTAACTTGACCAAATTTCAGTCACTTTTGGAGTATTATTGCTCTTTATACACTGTTTTTTACACAACATTATGTTTGTGATTTTTTTTTTGTAGCTATTTTATTGTATCAAAAAGCACCAGTTAGCCAGTTTTAATTTAATGCCTTGTGTCTGACATTAGATATCTAAAGACTTTTGCAAATCTTTTCGGGCTCATTTTGTTCAAATTGCTTTCATACTAAACTGTGTGTCCACTGTTCGTTTTTTAAATATTGTCTTTTTAAGTGCATTTTCTATGACTCCTACCAAATGTGTCTTATTGTGCACTGCATAAGTTAAGGGGATGTTGGGGGGGAAAGAAGAAAATTTACAAAGAACACATTACAAAGAAAATATAAAGTATTTTTAAAGTCTTCACTGAACCAGCTTTTTAATACAGTGTTTTTTTTGGTGGCATAAATTGAGACTGATGCTGCAAAACTTAAATAACATTTATGCCAGGGTTAGCATTTTGTTGGCACGGCTTACTTCTTACATGATCACTGAAATTTCTTTTTTTTTTAATCTGCTGATCTTCTGGATTGTGAAAATTGTTTGAGTCACGATTGCAAAAGATACAAATTTAAAGGAAGATTTGAATCAAGTTTTGCCCAACCCTGAGTGCACAATGTCAGTGAATGGGACAGGCAAACCCCTTTTTCATGTCAAGACACGTTGGGATGATAAGAGACGATTGCTGTATGGGAAAAAGCTTCAAAAGTTTTTTTCTTTTCTTTTTGTTATTTTTATTCAAGAGACTGTAAATAAAGTTTCTGTGGAGACCAGAAGGAAGGTGTGTTTTCATTCTTTATTTTCTGAAATAAGTACATTACTTGAGTAAAAGTTGTTTGAACAGCTAACAGAAATTCAGGTTTTCTGTTTTATGTTCATAATGTGATACAACCCAAAGTAGTTTACATTGTTGCCTTAGACCCATGAATTATAGTAAGCCTCCTTGGATAATTTTGTTCTTTCAAATGGCATTTATAAACATAAACATAACTTTACTGATAATTTCCACTATATAATATATAAGCAATTGCAGTTTGATAATACTAGCAGTAGTAGCTGGGAATTACAAATACATCATATTATGTGTGATGGATCTTTTACTTTTAAAATGTCAATGTTACTCATTAGTGTTTGTTTGCATGTGCATTAATAATAATCACAATATTGAAAAACAAGAATTAAAAAAATTAAGCTGTTTAAATTCAGATCAGATTATTTCCATCTTCTTTATTGTCCTTGCTGCATTTCATCTTAAATTATTTACCAACATGTCATAACTACGCTAGTTGGACATCAAAACCTTAAGCAGCCTCTTGTAGAGAATGTATGATGTAAAGATTTAGAGCTGTAACTAAATCATATCACTCCTTTCTGAACTTCCTATGCATAGAGCTCTGTGATCTTACTGACCAGGATTACATAAACCCCAGCAAAGAGCAATTAATCCTCTTTGAATCGGATGAGGACTGGGTTGGTAAGCTTCTTTACCAAAGATTCAACAAATCAAACTCCCAACATCAGTAGTTATAAGGCTTCATATTCTGCAGTTTTCCTTTACTGACCAAATCTCACATAACTGTAACTTTCCATCCGGATTTAAGTTAGAAATACAACATAGAAATAGTTCATCTGTTGTCAATTTTCTGTTTGAATTGGATTAAACGATGACACTGAATCCTAAATTAAGCAATCCAATAAAGATTGTTGGGTATTATGTTGACTAAGGCACTATGTTATACAAAGAGATCTGATCCCCACTGTTGAGCCCCCTTTGATTCAGAGGGTGACATTTTGAGGCCATAATCTGAGGGCGTATTTAGTCTGTGACTCATCACTGATATGCTGCGACTTACCATAATAACAAGTGAAATGTGGCCTGATGGGAGAGGGGGTGCACAAAACCACATTCTGATTGATTATAAGCAGGTGCCACACTTATAATTGATAAAGGTGAATAAAATTATTTCTCTTGTCTTTGAAAATGCAACAAAATCTTTATTAGTTAGAGAAATAATGCAACATTGCCAATGATTAGCTAAACATGTTCAAGAATGACCTCAACTTGCCTCTGTGTACAAGACTGTGTACCTGGCAGGCATTGAAACAAATAAGTCAGTAATTGCAGGATAAAGAACAAACAACAGCATAATAATATAGTTTTTAAGTAATCACAATATTTAGATAGGCAATTGTCATTCATTTATCAGACAATTTTAATGTCCGTCAAAGGCAAACTGAGAAAATAAAAACTGTTCTTAGATGTGAATTTTTGCATCAGAAGTTGATCTCAGCCAACCTCACAATATCCTTGGTAGAGTTCAAAGGTGAAGTCACAGCTCACTACACACAACACAAAGGCTGTGTGAGAAAATATTCTGTGGGCAGATGAGACAAAAGTTGAACTTCTTAGAGGGCATTTCCATTAAACGTGGTGTTAAACTAACAGCCAGATTTGGTGCTGGTGGAGTGATAATCCAGGGCTGCCTCATTGCTTCAGGATCAGTAATAATCAAATGATAATCTGTGGGAAAACTGATGCTTGCAAAAAGCTCTATTTTCATTATGACAGAACCTTTTCCATGTTAGGATGATAAAAGATTATTGAAGGATGGACAAAAATGGCAGTCTTTATGTGCAAAGATGGCAGAGACATAACCAAAAAGACTTCCAGCTGCAAATGTATAAATTTCTCCTCCACTTCCCACTAATGTGCTACGTTAACTTACTCTATCACATATACTTCAAACAAAATAATAAATACTAAAATGTTCAAAAAATTTTCATTTTTACCAAATATTTTTTGGTACTTGCTGGTCAATAGACATGTTGGTAGAAAAAAAATACTTGCACTCTGATAAAGGTTTGTGCCATCTCGAATGGTTCTTAATGGAACAGACAAACTGAACATCAAACTAACGTCCTGTAGATGTGGACACATTTTTGTGAGATTTTCCAACAAAGCTGTTGTTTTCAAATTCTAGTTCATAACATCCAAAGCATCACTGATATTCTGCATGACTTCCAGAACATTTAATAACCAGAGTGAGGTTTTAAGTTCATTTGATTTCTTTTTGCTCAATATACAGCTCAAGATTTCGGATGCATTTCGCTTACTCCTCCACTGACCCCCGCCAGCCTCATTCCCAGCCTCTTGCCCAAGAGGAAACTAATAATATTGTCCTTGTGGAAAAGTACTGGCATTTGGGCCATGCTTTGTTCATTGTCTATTTCAGACAGTAGAAAAAGCAGCCTGAGACAAATACTTAAATAGAAGTAGCTAGGCAAGCTGTATTAGAAAATAAAATTATAAGTGACAGAAATCTACAGTGCGGTTTTCTTTTATTTAATTTTTTAAAATTAAACCAAGCACTATGAGGTTGTCATGACCCTTTTGGTCTTTATCTTTCCATTTGTTTCAGTTTTACTCTTTGAAGTGAGTCTCTAAAGTCATGGCAGAATCCCTGCAGATAGAATGCCTTCCAAGTATGTTAACTTGAAGCTTTTCATTTCACATTATCAGTACTTTTTTATCAGAATTGTATTTGAAATGGCAACACAATAGTGTATCTTTGTAAAACTTAAGGAAAATAATAGATGTTTTTCAAATCTTTGTACATGTTAATATTCTTCAAACTTCCCTTGCAATTTTAAAAGTTTTTCCACAGATATCCTCGTCCAACATTACAGTTCTCCTTCGCTGCTCTCCAAGTAAAGCTCTCCTTCCTCCTGCTTTCAGTTTAGTCATAGGAGGTTTGAAACTATGCTTCATAATATGATCAAAGCTTTATGTGTAGATTTATAACTTAACTCTGCTTAAATCACTCACAACTATATCCATGACCCGCCTACTGTGCTCCTTTGTCTTCATGATGCAGTTTGTTTGCTGGTCATCAACCTATTATGTTTCTGAAGTAAAACCCTAATATAATAAAATCCGTGGATTTGATGTGAGAAAATATTATTAAAAGTTTAATACTTAGAGTTCTCTATAAGGGATACAAAAATTGAGACAGCTGCATACAAATAAAAATATTAAATTGCATAAGGCCTATTGTGTAAATTTGTGTTCATATCATAAGTTTGAATCCTTGACAGGATCTTTCACAGTGCTTACATAACTCTGTTTATTCCACAATAGATGCAGTCAACCCCGAGGTAACTTCTTGACAAAGCTATGTCTCCAGGAAAAGATGCTCTGTTGTGAATAAAAACAGGTGAAACTTCACCTTTGACCTGAGACACTGATCCAGTCATACAAGATATGACCGCATCAAGTAATCACAAGCTGTTGAATCATGGGGTGTTTAGCTTTTGTCATCTTACTTCTGCAGCCAACCTGACATGGGAGGCAGGAAAGACGATGTTTGGATTGTTCCTTTTGCGGTATAGAGGTCTTGTTTGAATGCTGACTGAGGGACTTTGCATATGTGGGGTTTGCGACTTCCTCCCACAATACTGAACTTAAAGTGTGCATGGGTCTGTGGAGATACGCCAAGGGCAAAGCACATATGAAAAGCAAGAAATTCAGAATTAAATGATTATTCCTATTGTAGTTCACATACTGATGTAGTCACTTAATCCCACCGGGTGCATGCTTGATCATAAATACATGTGAAAGTGGCCAAATTAGGGTGTAGATATTTGTTTATCACGATTATGTTTGAAAAAAGACACTCCTGAAAACCAACCATGACGTCATTTTGATAAGGTAAACTAAAATGCTCCCTGCTCCTACAGTGAGGATTTCAAGGTCAAAATAAAGTAATTTATGGCTTTGATCCTCTGATGCAAAATGCTTCAGAGCTTTAGAGGTTTTAGGAAATTATCCAGCTGGAAGGGATGTTTTTTTTTGTCTCTGCTTTACATGAAGATAAACATTTTTTAATCACCTTTGAGAAAAGTTGTTCATATGCATGATGTTATGAGATTGATGATAATCATAGGAAAAGATAGATGAAAATGTTAAAAATGTTCAAGTGTCACTCAGAGATTTTCTGTAGCAGCTTCACAAACTTTATAAGTTGCATGTTTTTCTTCAGATTTAGCCATCACCTTTAATACTTGATTTTCGTGTCTCAGTTTAACATATTTAATAAGATTTTTTCAGTGGATTCATTTTGAATTAACAGAAAGTCAGTAAAACCCAGAACCATTTAAAAACAGCATTGACAAAAGTTTCCAGTGAATCAAGTAAAACACTTTTCCTTGCAAAGGATGGAAAGTGACATTTTGCACATGAAACAAAGTTAAAAAAAATGTTCCATAGAGATCTTTTTAATATACATATTAAAAGACCTGAGGCATTATTGTTACTAGACAGCATGTTTACCCTGACAAAAAACATGCCACAGCTTTTGTTCAGTCATCACAACTCACCAGACATGCAAAGGTTTAAAAATGTCGCCGTTGTTCATTCCCAGTGAGGTGACAGTGGAAGCAACCATGTAGAGAATGCAGTGAGACCTTTCAAATATACAGTGAACACATAGTCAATGCATTCCTGGCGTTCCCCGTGCATAGTCCCGACTAAACTATGGCGGCATGGCTGGGATTCTGCCGTTAATCCGCTGAATAGGGCTTCCCTGGCAAAAGGAAATGTTTACCTCCTGCAGAAATAACAGCAGGAAGAATAGAGTCTGTGGTCAGAATATAATAACGATGAGCCAATGGAGCAAACAGCAGTGAGGCCTTTCTCTTTCAAGGTGAGGCTCACCAAAGACTGATTAACAGTGACACAGTGCAAACCCTGTCAAAAAGCTGGCTGACATATGTAAAC